GCCAATGCAGGTGAAAAACAAGCATCCTGATTATTTATTTGGTTTTCTTTCTTAATCCCAATATCAGTAAAGGGGAGCACAATTTGCCACCCCAAAATGTATCTCTTTGGCACATTGTAATTAGAGATAGGACTTTACATACAGGAAGGTGATCACATTGACTTCGATCCATGCTAAAGAGCAAATGACTGATATGCACTCACCTTCCCAAAGCAGGGTTGCTCTCACGGAGATAATGGGTGCCTACAGGGAGAGAACACAATGGAAGGGAAATTGCAATTTACAAGAAGGTGAATTTTATTCTCATGCTTTTTCTAAAAAGCATGTGTGTGTGTGTTTCTTTTGTTTTGCTCAACTATGGAAAGTAAGGAGCAAACACTCTGACCTTTTACTCCTAAGTATTTATTTCAGTGTGTATTTCCTAAGAACAAGGACACTCTTCTACATAATCCCAATGCCATTATCATACCTAATGAAATTAACAATAATTCCTTAATGCCATCTAATAGGCAACTATAATCAAATTTCCCCCATTCTCCCAGAAAATGTCTTTTATAGCTTTTTAAAAAAATCTAGGATCAAATCAAAGCATATGCATTGCATTTGGTTGTTATATCTCTCTTTTTTCCCCAGTAACATTGGATAAGTTTAAGGTATACAACATAATGATTTGATATAAGTATATATTGGCAAAAGGATTGCTTGCTATATTTTTTTAAATCTTTTTAAGATAAAACAATAGCTCCCTCAAATTCTTCTAAAATAATGATGCTGACTGCCCTGGCCTGGTGGCTCAATTGGTGGGAGCATCGTCCCGTAGCCTAGGTTGTGGGTTCCATCCCCGGTCAGGATGCCTATGGGAGGCAACCGATTGATGTTTCTCTCTCATCTCTCTCTCTCTCTCTCTCTCTCTCTCTCTCTCTCTCTCTCCCCTCTAAAACTCAATGAAAACATATCCTCAGGTGATGTTTAAATTTTTTAAAATGATATTGACTTGCTTTGATGAATACAAGTGTTATTTTGTAGAATGTGCCAGGATTGGATTTGTCTGTTTCCTCATTAGTTAAATTAAAGTTAAAAAAATTGGGGACAACAAGTGTCCATCAGTAGATGAGTGGATAAAAAAGATGTGGTACATTTACACAATGGAATACTACCCTACCATAAAAAAAGAAGAAAATTTTACCCTTTGTGACAACATGGATAGACCTGGAGAACATTATGCTAAGTGAAATAAGCCAGTCAGAGAAAGACAAGTACGATGTAATTTCACTCATATGTGCGGGGCAGGGGGAATGGGGTGTTGGGGTGTGTGGAGAGTGATGGCGGGAGGGAGAGGAAAGCGGGGAGGTAGAAGAGGGCATAGAGAAGATAAATGGTGATGGAAAAATAAATTAAATTTAAAAATAAATAAAATAAAAATTTTAAAGTTGTGAGCAAGAATACTGTATAAGCAATGTTATGTTCTTCCTATTGCATTGCATCAGGAGGTACAAGATCTTAGATTGTCCCACTATTGATGATGCTCAATTTGATCAGGGCCATTTTATGAATTTCATGGGTCATTGGCACTTTACCTTTATGAGAACCTTTCTTCATAAAAATATTAAGAATTATATTTTATAATTGTATTGGCATAGGGATTAATATAATTCATTTTTCTCCTTATTTTTTAAAATATATTTTTATTTATTTCAGAGAGGAAAGGAGAGGGAGAGAGAGGTAGAAACATCAATGATGAGAGAGAATCATTGATCAATTGCCTCCTGCACACCCCCTTCTGGGGATTGAGCCCGCAACTTGAAGATGTGCCCTTGACCAGAATTGAACCTGGGACCCTTTAGTCTGCAGGCTGATGCTCTATCCACTGAGCAAAACCAGCTAGTGCTCTTCTGGTTTTAAAATAAATTAAAACATTTTCCTGAGCTCCTAAAGATGTCATGGGCCCCAGACTTTAAGCCTACTCTGGCTAATGGAGAAGTTCACCCTGGGTTTGACCATTTGATTAAAAGAGATGACCTCCAGATTTCCCCATCATAAAGGTACATTTTCCCCTTTGCAATTAGATAGTAATCTACAGGGAGACTCTTTGAGATTATGTGAATATTGTGTTCCCTAAAATCTCTCCCTTGCTGGTTTCATGATTTTTGCCTGAATCAGTTATTAATTATACTGAAGAAGGTTCAGGGATAAAAATATTGAGGTGCAAAGAGTATGTGATTTGTTCAAGACCATAAAGCTAGTTGGTAGCATCACCATTAAGAATCAGATCTGTGTGGTCCCAAGTTCATATTAGAGCCCATAGGAAACTGGAGTATTTTAAAAAGGAGTAACACAATAAACAACATTGGAGTTATTTGATCTGGAGTGAAGAACAGAAAAGAATGACTGTAATATGTTACATGCTTAAAGATAATGATTGCATGGGTACCCAGGATCAATAAGTTCTCCATTTGGAGAGTAATGGCACAAAGGGAGATAAGATTACATTGCTCTAGCCCGGCCGGCATGGCTCAGTGGTTGTGTCGACCTATGAACTAGGAGGTCACTCTTCGATTCCCGGTCAGGGCACATGCCTGGGTTGTGGGCTCAATCCCTAATGTGGGGCATATAGGAGGCAGCTGATCAGTGATTTTCTCTCATCATTGATGTTTCTATCTCTCTCTCTCTCCCTCTCCCTTCCTCTCCAAAACCAATAAAAATATATATTTTAAAAAAAGATTCCATTGCTCTGCATTATAGTCATTTTATAAGCCAGCTAATAATTGCTTCACATTTCTTCAGAAACATTATTGGTGTTATCCTCAGGAGAAAATAAAGCCAATGTTTAATAGTTTCATCAATTGTTATATTATTATTAGGTATTAAAATTCTAATTTAAATGTTGACAATTTGTCATTTACCCTAGAGATTCATTTAGTTCATTTGGTTTTCTCTTCACCTCAGTCTTCTCTAGGTAGTGTGCATTAGAATTGTAATGGACATTTTAAAAGGATTGTTGTTCTACAATTCCTACGGACTTCAGAAGGTGATTATGGACAAATAAGGGCTGAAATACTGGATCCTTAAAAATAGACAAACTGCCCATATTTGAATAAAAGACAAACCTTTCTGTGGACAAAGGTTTCCTTCCAACTGTGGGTGTGGGAGCCAGCTACTGCTACTTGCCAAGAATAGCTTTCACACATTAATCTTGTTGCAAAGAACATTTTTGACCTTTTCAATGTTTGCATTTAAAAAATGAAGCACTGATGTTTTCAAAAGTGGGAAACAATTGTCACGAGCCCCAAATTATCACAGGAGTGAATTTGTCACTCTATGGAAGAATGATGCTTACTAAATATGTAAAAGTGGATCTGTTCTCTCTCATTTGTGAGGAGTTGAAATAAGAGATGCATCTGCAAGTCACATATTATTGATCAATTAGTATTTGCTGAACCTCTACTTTGAAATAAGTGGTATGCAGGACAAGGGACCTGGAGTATTTTTAGAATTATAGACAGAAGAGAAGAGGAGAAGATATAAGTTTCTGACTTCAGGAAAGTTATGAGAAAGTCAAGTAAAAAAAAGTCAAGTAGATCCATGGAAATCTAGAAAACAATTCAAGATAGTGCATGGTAAGCATAAAATGAGAAGAGTCAATAATCCTGTCATAAAATTAAACAGGTTAGGAGAAAGAACAGGAATGATTGAGGTGCAGATTGGCCGGCAAAAGCTTTATCAAGTTGTTACTTATAAGCTGGAATTTGGAAGGGTAGAATTCAGATGAATGGAAACTCTGGGATTGGGCATGAAGAAAGGAGGGAGACAGGAAAGGAATGGAGAATTTAGAAACAGGACATAGACTGGTTAAAAGAAATTAAACCAGGGCCCACTTCAGCTTTCAAGCTATAGTCATGTTCTTCTCAGACAGTTCCTACCCAGTGACTGAACCAGAGAGTAACTGATGTCACACTCTTTTTGGGTGGCCAAAAGAGTGTGACCTCAGCTAAGCAAGGTGGTGATACAAAGGGCCTGGCGATTCTATCCAAGATAGGACTCCTTCATTGGACAATCTTTGCTCCTGAGCTCCCACTGAACTGGTGTTGGGTAACCAACAGTTTCAATTTACTGTGACTCAGAGATTTTCCAGGATGTAGGACTTTCAATGCTAAAACTGGGAAATTTTCAGGCAAGCTAAGATGGTTAGTCACCTTGACTGGTGTAGACCTTGTCAGGTCTGTATCAGAATCTGACAGCTCCCTCTGCCCAATCCTGTTTCCTTCCCTTTTTCCTTTCACAGGTATTACTCCCCAATAAACTCTTTGTCCTCCTGACTTCATCCTAGTGTCTGCTTCAAAGACACTTGATCTAAGACAGGGACACATGTGGCACAGGAACCAGGAAGGACTAAATACTACAAGAGAAGATGAGGCTGAAAGTAGGAGGGCTGGGGAAAGATTACTTTGATAATTATAGGGATGCTCCTGTGTATAATGTTTTAGCAGACTAT